GCCTGAGCCCACCTCCCACGCCGAGGGTGAGGAGGCAAGCGGCCCCAAGCAGAAGACGTGCCAGTGCTGTGCGGTGATGTGAGCCTGCGCCCGTGCCCCACCTAGTGCCTCTCACAGCTACCTCGCCTCCTGGAATCCAGCAGGGGGTCCCGGGCACAGGCAGGGCACCACAGGACTGGCCATGGCACCCGGCCGCCAGCCGGCCCTCACATCCACTTATGCCTGGGCTTCCAGACTCCTTGCCCACTGCCTGTGACCCCGGCTCCCTTCTGTGACAAAGCCTTTATACTTGAAAATAAAATGTCTAAGCACTCAGCTGGAAAGTGTGTGTTGTTGGCACAGAATCACCTCGTGATCTGGTGGGAAACTGAAGGCCTAATTCTTCTGGGACAAAAAATGTGAGTCAGCGAGTATACGGACTGGTTGCTGTAACAAAGTTATCTCAAGCTACAGTAACAAAAAGATGAGTTTATCGTGGTTCTGACGCATGTGGACATTCAGGGATTCAGACCCAGGAAGTTCCTTGGGGATTCATTTTCTGATTCAGGTGGTCACTCAGGAATTAAGGCTCTAATCCAGGTAATCACTTAGTGATTTAGGCTCCGATTTGTGCAGTCGCTCAGGTATTTGGGCTCTTGTGTGGTTTTTCGAGGATTCAGGCGCTAATGCATATGGTCACTTGAGAATTGGCTCTGATCCTTACGGTCCCTGGGGGATTCAGACTCTGATCTACAATCTCTCAGATTCAGGCTCTGACTCATGTGGTCACTGAGGGATTCAGTCCATTATCCATGGGTTCAGTGGGTGATTTAGGCTCAGTCCATATGGTCACTCGAGGACTCAGGCTCTAGCCCATGTAGTCCCTGGGCAATTCAGGCTGTGATCTTCATAGTCACTCAGGATTGACTTGGGCTCTTACCCATGTGGTTACTGAGGGATTCAGGCTCTTATCTATGTGACCACTGAGGGATTCAGGCTCTTTTCCATATGGTCACTGAGGGATTGAGGTTCACGCATCTGGTCACTCAGGGATTCAGGCTCTGACCTACAGTCACTTGGGGACTCAAGTTCCGTTGCATTGGTTTCCCCCCGGGCTATGTCAAAGCTAGGTCATGAGCACATTTATGTTCTAGCTCACCAGAAGAGTGTGGAGGAGCCTCCACCCAGTGTTTCAGGCCTACCAGCTCCTGACATTGGCCCATGTCACTTCTGCCCACATTGCATTGTAAGAACTCAGCCCTTGGTTGGTCCAGCTGCACGGGAGGCTGGGACTGTGCACAGGTGCAGTTCTGCTCCAGTAGGATTGTGGGAGGCAGCTCCCCTCTTGATATCACGCATTTTCCTTTACACACTGATCCACCCATGCATTCCCTACTGAGTCTGGGCCCTTCTCTATAGGGTCCCCTAGTCCCCACTCTTCCGATTGGATGCCTTCGGGCAAGTGGCTCAGCCTTGCTGGGCCTCAGTGTCATCATCTGTTATGTGGGCTCACCCCAGGGCAGGGTGCAGCCTGCATGAGCACCCTTAGCCTGTTCTGCAGCCCCCCCTGGCAAGGCTTAGGCCAGCACATGGGGACTGGGGGACCCCAGAAGGCCCAGCTCCTCTGGGGTGGGCATGAAGTGTTTCTCATACCCAGAGTGAAGTGGGGTGGAGGCCTGGGGCGGTTCCATAAGTGGCAGTGGCTCCATCTCTTCCACTTCCAGGATGGGAGCATCCCCAAGGGGCTGGGGCTGGGGCTGAGACACCTGCTGGGAAGAGATGAGGCTGAAATGTCCTCCCTTCCCTATCCCCCAGTGTCCCTGGTTCCCCTAATTCCCCAGAGGGCTTCCACAAGCACCTAAGGGCGCTCTACCATTAAGCTATACCTCCAGCTCTTTATTTTTTATCTTGAGACAGAGTCTAAATTGCCTTCCCTGGCCTAGAACTTGTGATCTTTCTGCTTCAGCCTCCAAAGTAGCTGTAGTAAGGAAGCTCCAGAGATCTGCAAAGGGGTGAATCGTGGGCATGCACCACTGTGCCTGGCAGGCCGGCCTTTTGCTCACCTCTATGTGGGGGTGGCCAGAATGGCTGTTGGCAGGATCAGGAACCTTCTCCACGACCCAACGGGGGAGCACCTTGTGTCTCAGGTGGAGGCACCTGGTGGGTAGGGGAGATCAAGGCAGGGAGCCTGGGTGCCAGACACTGTCCACACTCCCCAAAACACAAACTCTGCAGAGCCCTGAGGTTTCCCTCCACCCAACCCCACAAAGTTCAGCTAATGTCCAGCAGCTGCCCCCAACACATCTATGTAGCCCAGTGTGTCCCCTCACCTCACCTTCCAGAGGTGGCCAGGCCCAGGCAGCAGCCCAGCTGGAGCAAGGCCCACAGGCACAGGATCCGGGGCAGGAGTCCCCAGCTCAAAGTATTCCCTGCAGGACAGAGAGGAGAGATGTTTTGGATGCCAGGAAACTGGGAAAGATGTAAGCTTGTGGATGGGTCGGGGCTTGGGTGACAGAGTGGGTGGGGCTTATATGTGGGAGGGACTAGGAATCTTGAGAAGGGGCGGGACTCGTGAGTAGGACAGTGTCGACAGCTCAGAGTGAGTAGGGTGAAACCATGGGAGACTCCAGGCCTGGTAAGAGTCTGCAGCATTAGCAGAATAAAAAGGCCCCTAGAAATGAGGAGTGGTGGCACATGCCTGTCATCCTAGTACACAGGAGGCTGAGGCAGGATGATCGCCAGGAGTTCAAGGCTAGCCTGGGCTGCAAAGCGTGTTCAAGGCCAGTGAGAATTACAAAGTGAGGGCTGGGGGGTGCAGCATAGTGGTAGAGATGTGCTCAGTATGCACACAGATCTAGGTTCAACCCCCAGAACCCCCCACATACTGATCCTCCACCTCAAGTCATTTTGTCCCTGCCCTGAAGCCCATGTGAAGACTCCAGACACCCCCTCCCTCAAGTGGAGTAGGCAGTCCCGCCCCAGCCTCTACCTGGCAGATGGAACTGGAGGCTGGGACCTGGTGGGCCTTGTCCTGCAATGGTGGCCGCCGTCACCCAGAATTTGCAGGGCCCCCAGGGGAGGTTGGGCAGAGTGACCTTCCGGGTGCTGCTGCTCACTGAGGAACACAAGCGAAGAGGCAGGGGAAGTGCTCTCTACCACAGGGCCTTTGTACATGAGGTTTCATCTGCCCACAGCACTTGTCCCCAGCCACATGGGTCTTTCCTCCTTCCTGCAGGTCTTTGTTCAAATGCTACCTCCACAAAAGCCTTCACTGACTGCCCCTCCATTGAAAACTATCTCCACACCACTCGCCTGTCCTGCTTCATTTTCATCTCAGCACATATCAGCACCTGATATATTTCTTCAATATTATTTGGTTTGTCTATGAATGTGGGTCTCACACACACTAAATAATAATAATAAAAGAAAATAAGAAAGAAAAAATTATCTAGGGTCTAATGTCACACCCCTGTGGTCCCAGCTACTGTGAAGGCTGAGGCAGGAAGACTGCTTGATCTCAGAGCTAAGACCACACTGGACAACACAGTGAGACTTCATCTCAAAAAAAAAAAAAAAA